ATATATAATATATAATATATAATATATAATATATAATATATAATATATATACTTTATAATATATAATATATAATATATATATTATAAATATAATAAATATATTATTAGGATGTTCGGGTGTATGTGCAGGGTCACCGAGGGTGCGCAGTGGTGTTGGGGGGGGTGGACAGCCGCGGCCCGTCTTTGTACAAAATTCACCCGCACGGGTCTACAGACTCTGCTAATTTCGCAGCAATGGGCAGCGGCAGCCTCAATGCTATGGCTGTACTCGAAGCAGGTAGCTAGCCCCTTGTCACGCTCTAACTACAGCAGCAGCAGCAGCAGTAATAGCAGTAATAGCAGCAGCAGCAATAGTAGTAGGAGGAGGAGCAGCAGCAGTAATAGTAGTAGTAGGAGGAACAGCAGTAGCAGCAACAGTAGCAGCAACAGCAGCAGCAGCAGTAGGAGTGGTGGTAATAGCAGTAGCAGCAGTGGCAGTGGTAGCGGTAGCAGTAGTAGCAGCAGCAGCAGCAACAAAAGCAGCAGCAGCAGCAGCAGTAGGGTTGTTCTCGCTTGTTTAGTCATTGTTAGCTCTGTCTCTCGCTTGCTGCTGCTTCGGCTTCGTCTTCTGCTTCTACTGCTACCTTTGCTGCTGCTGCTGCTGCTGCTGTTGCTGCTGCAGGTTATAAGGACGGCTTGACGGAGGAGGAGGCTCGAGCGTTGGTGTGTGCAGCAATAACAGCGGGTGTTAAGAACGACTTAGGCAGTGGGGGTAATGTAGATTTAGTAATAATAAAAGAGAATGAAACAGAACATATACGTAAGTATGCTTCACCGGCAAGAGAAGCAGAAAAAGCTGCCTATACACCGTACGATATCGGCACTACACCCTTCTTTAAAGAGCATATTGAAGCTATTAAACCCCTTGTAGCTGTACAAGAAGAAGTTGAAATGCTAGAAGCATCTTAAACCCTAAACCCTAAACCCTAATTTGCTGCTGCTAACAACAGACGACACAGACAGGGGCTCTTAAAAGATTGATGAATGAATATCTGCAGCAGCAGCAGACCAGGCACTGCTGCTTTCTTTCTGCTGTCTCTCGTTTATATATATATATATATATATATATATATATATATATAT